ACCATGTCCTGGAGCGACTGTCAGTATAAATGTGACAAATGCAATCGAATTTTCGTCGGTTCACATAATTTTTATGCACACATTCGATCGATTCATATCGATGAGGTGATCACGATAAACGTCTCGTGCTTCTATTGCAACTCTACACACCGACGCGAATACGCTCTCAACAAACATATTGCTAATGCACATTTTCATCATTTGAAATATCGGTAAGGCAACACGGGTCAAAATAATTTCAAAATGGAATATTTTGTCATAATTTTCGTATGATTTTAGTTGTATGTATTGTTCGGACTATTACTGGAACACTCGAGAATTGAACAAACATCGTAACATGCACACCGACGTCGTGTACAAATGTGAATTATGCGAACAAACGTTTTCGTATCAAAACCTTTTCTACGCCCATGTTTCAGCGCATCATTCGAAGAAGAAAAAGGAAAAAGAAGCTGAATCGGACGAACAGTTGATATGTGAGCTCTGCGAGAAGGTTTTCAAAACCAAGGGTTCCATTAGAAATCACATGAATTTGCATACAAGTGAGAATATATTGTGCTCAATATTCAAATGGTATCATCTATTTTAATTTGTATAAAAATTTTGCAGAAAAATTCGATTATATTTGCGATCAATGTGGGTGGAAGTTCCAGACCAAGGGAAATCTAAAAGGCCACTTGGCAAGTACACATTCAAACGAAAGGCCGTTCAAATGTGAACAGTGCTACAAATGGTAATGAAATGGTTTTTCCATGAACTAGAAAAATATCAATTTACTCATTGATTGCTGTTCGGGTGGATTTTCAACAGGTTCAAAACAAAGCACCAGCTGCATAATCATTCGAAACACCATGAAGACGTCAGACCATATCCATGTAGCGAATGTGGTCGAAAATTCCGTAGGCCCTACTCACTTTCCGTTCATATGAGAAGCCACACCAATTCATGTCCATACACGTGCCGCTACTGTGGCAAAAGCTTCCGTCATAATATCACCTTACGGGTAAATCCAAATCCGATGTTTATTCAATCATTTGATCAATTTTTTAAAATTATTTTCTTATTCATTGATTCGTTTATTTGGTATAATCACAATCGGGTTTGGGCGGCCGGGTTTAGACTCACGAACGTGCTCATACGGATGACAAGCCTTACTCGTGTACAATCGCGTCGTGCGATTATCGGTCGACATCGAAAGGAAATTTGAACAAACACATGTTGCGCGTTCACTCCATCGACTTCAGGAATCATGTTTTCAGTGGCAGGGAAAATTATACAAAGGATGGAAATGGATATTTTAACCAATGAGTCGTACTTCGTACGATCACAAAGAATGTTATCACACAATCGGAAAGAAAAAAATGCGAAAATAAATTGATTTTTTCTTCATATTATTTAAAGTCTATTCGAATCTTTTTTTAGTTTTTCCTTTTTTATTCGTGGTAATATTACCTAATAATTATTAGGTAATAATTTTATTCGATGGAGTTATAGAGATCACTGCAAATGTCCCAAACTGACTATTTGAAACTATTGACTCGCATTCTTCATGATATTTGTCATCAAACGAGTGATCGGAAATTGTGGAATTGCAAACGTTGTTCGGGTCTAAAGTTGCAATCCAAAGAAACATTTTACCCAGCTACATGATGTACTTTGACCCAGCTAAATGAGAAGAAATGCTGGGACTAGCTAAAAATTCGAAATCAAAGCAAAGTTATTTGAAATGAAATCGGCACAAACAATGCATATCAAGTCACAGCCAAAAACAATTGTCCATCGGTTTACAAAATCAGTGATTATTTTCAAATACAAATTTTTATTAGAAAAATCCGAGGATGTTCCTTATGAAATGTAGGACTTTTATATTTAAGACCAAACATGCTATTTTCATCGCCTGATGATGGGAAAACTTGTATAATATCAAATATACTTATGAACCGTGTAGCACTCAGCAATGCTAATTTTAATTTGAAATGTTCAAACAATCAAAATGCCAGTAGTATATCCTTATAAAAGGGCAGGCCAACAATGAGTCAAATATTCATTTTTACGCTCTTTTTCAGTCATTTTTATTTATTATTTTTCTTCTTTTTGCAATATGACACAAGTTAGTATTGAATGATAAATTGTTATATTGATTTGATGGTGATTATTAGTGATGTGTGATATTAGTGATGGTGATTATTAGTGATGGTTTAGTACTTCTAAAAACTTCGATATAAAACGTTAGTCAAAGATTTTGAAAATGAGTCGGAATTTAGTCCACATTTGATTCGTTCAAAACAATGAATGGCGCTCACATGAAATTGTCCTAAACATTGTGATTATTGTGATAATGTTAAGAAAAATGCACGATTAAAATGGTTGATAATAATGTTGATGGAATGGAAAAGAAATGAAATAAAAAACCGCCACCGTTTTAGTACCTAAAAAAATAATGACATTCTTTCAATCGATGAAGTGTTAGACATAAATGGATTTTGTTTTGTTTAAGTGGAAAAGGTTGATTGTTTTATTTATTCAAACGCTTCCCGAAGTGACCGATTCCACGGTTGGGCTG